ACGGTACACCTATTGCAGGGGAAATATCTGATCCAATCACTATGCCTAGGCATTTTAGAATTCCAGTGATGGGAGACCTCTGGACAGCAGGTAGGCTGTGAAGTGCCAAACAGTCGTTGGTGTCATTTAGCAAGACACACTTCACCCCATATTCTAACAGTCTGGTGGAGGATTGGTAGTTTGGAAGGCCGATTGCACTATCTGGGTGAACTCCTGCTGGCAGTCTTTACCCCTTTGAGTGTCTAAAAAGAGCACTGTGAAAAAAAAAGGGAAGGTGAGAAGGGGGGGAGCAGTGATGAGGGCATGTTATTTGTCCCCATAGTGTCATGTCGAGTAGGTGGGCGCACATTACAGAAAATAAAATGAGAACATGTTGTGTGCACGACAAAGGGTAGGCTCGAACAGATCTATCATATAAATATTTTAAAAAAAAAATAATAATAAAATCAAGATAAGATATTCTGACTAAGATGGCTACTTGGTTCATGTATTAATACATTTGAGGTTTAACAATGAAATCTTAACTGACTTTAAAGCTTTAAAGTTATAGGAATAATGTCCAGTCAGTCAATAGGCTATAATAACCGCAATAAACTCTGATGTAACCACAGATAACTCATGCTATACAAACAAATCGCGGCCCGTGCATCTATTATCGGTTGAGCTCAGTCAGTCCCTTCACAATTGAAGGCGCGTTTCCCACACATAACAGCATCCATCAGGTCCATGGCGAAGCATATTCCTCGCTCGTCCCTGAATGAATTCCCAGCACATTGAAAAAATAAATATAACGTCTAAACCATTAAACAGACATCATATGAGAACATAAAACATCAAGAAACAAAAAAGTAAAATTGAAACATGGAGTGTCACAATGTCTCATATTGTAATAGCTGACTTAGGGCCAGTTTCCACCAGCCTGCTCTGCTCTCTCTCTGCTCTACAGGATTCCTCTCGACCTTTGTTCTGCACTATTTACTCTACTGTAGTGTACTCTACTCTCCCCCGATTTGAAGCAGTTCAACCGCTATAGTTTAAACCAGTAACATGTCCTTCTTTAGTTCGGCGGCTCGGATCTTTCTAGCCACGCTGGTACTAAAGTGAACTAACTGTCAGCACTTTGGCTGGTAGAGAGCCATGGTACCCAAGGAATTTCCATCAGATACAGGTTGTATAGGTGGACGTGCAAAGTATACAGCACCAAAATATTTAAACATAGTGGGAAACAACCAGGAAGAGTAAAGCCAGGTTTACACCTGTACAGACACGCTGTACTTCAGCATTTGATTTTTCCCAAAGAGCTTATGGAGTTTAGAGTTTCGGTAAGTTTCAGGCTGCTTCCCTGTCCCATCACCACATCCCACTATTGTCTCATGTGTACATCACTCAGGGTGCAACCATTGGGTCCAAACTTACCAACGGGACAACTACCACTTAGCAAAACTAAGATAATTTAATCATTATATCTCCCACAGTGGAAATTTTGTGTTGTAGTGCACATACATGACAGTAGACTCTCAGGATCACACAATATAGACAATATTACATTAGCTATGTTTCTTAACTAGCAAACTGCTATAGATGCTGGATATGCTTCAATACCAGTAAACAAATAAATACTTGTAGTAGTATGCTGTTATTATACGGTAGACTTTTAATTGTGCAGATAATAGTAGATGAGCAGGATATTAAGTAGATGAGTTAAAGTGACATTCTGAAGAGCATATTGCACATGCCATGATTTAAGAATTTACGTTATTTACAATAATGAATTTTACGAGTTCTACTTACTCATCGATCAAAATGCTCGAAAATGCCTAGTAGGCGTGGCTTAGACATTTTTCACAATAAAAGCCCACTGCCTCTGCGGGACCTCTAAAGTCCGAAATAAAAGACTCCTTTCTCGTAGTGTTTCTGACGAAGGATTGCTATCACATATAATCAACGTAAATCAGATGTGTTGTTGCTGTTCCATATACTGTCTGTGAATCGCGAACTGTTTCCCATGACACTGACCTGAGCAGCTGCAAGGTGCGCAGGTTAACCTGGAGCTGCGGTGGGACTGTGGTGTTTCCATTCAATAAACACGTTCACAACAGCGATTTACAAACACGTGACCAGCGCCTGCTCTCACACAATGTTCTCATAGACTACAGTCATAAGAAATATTGATGTAGAAAAAGAAATCACATGTGGAATTAATGCTGTAGGTGATCGCTATCACAAACCAGGAAAAGGACGTTCGGGTTGTATGAGTGAGCAATAATGTGACTAATAATGAGCATGCAACTGTGACAGGACGAACATGTGTGTGTGTAAAGCATGACAGCAGCAAGAGGGTGTCACTGAAAGACGACAGCAGACGGCCAAACACATGTTGTATTTGTAGAGTGGGCTAGATCCACCTGCGTGTCCGCGTACTCGCACCCCGCTTCACCTGTCTCCAAAGCATTGTAACGCAATGTCACTGGCAATAGAATGGTACACCCTGTTTCCTGTTGTAAACATTCTTGTTCACCTTTTGTGTGTATTCCTAAATGTACAAACATGTCAATGTGCACATAACTGGTAAAATGATCAGGCAATAACAGCCCAGAACATGACATCCACTCATTGAGTATACATGTCTATTAGTATATTATTCCTGAGTAGTCCCTTGTGTGATGTTTTGTTTATTTCATTGCCTGTGTGATTTGCCTGGTGTTTAATCTTTGTGTGTGTTTCATGTAAAGATTTGTGCCTTGTGTGAGATGGACTGTGCAGCAGTCATCTCAGAGGACCACACAGACACGTTTAAATCACCAACACAGATTGGAGAATCAACAGCGAAGACCCAGGAAATATTGAACCCATGTGTAATTGGTTCATAGAGAAAGACCAATGCCCATGAATGATGATGAATATGCATACAAATTAATATTGATTGCTGGACATTTCGCTGACAGTAGCAGATGGCCAAAATGATGTATATTTGGGGTGGACGTGGTACACCTGCAAACCTTGCAGCTGATCATGTCAGTGTTGTGCTCATTACAAATGTTTATGTTGGTCCAGTCATACTGCACACAAGGGAACAATTGTGACATGGAATTGTGACCGAGCAACGCTAAAACACCATGTCCGCAGCGCTGTGACAGAGAAATGCTGCAGAGACGTCTCTGAAAGAGGATCTGGAGATGCGTCAGCAGGTTAATCTGTCGCTGCACCACGTACCAAACCGCGTCCGAGCGTACGATCTATGTGTGTGTGTCTGTGGCTACACGACACAGGTAACAGGAACAGGGTGTACCATTCTATTGCCAGTGACATTGCGTTACAATGCTTTGGAGACAGGTGAAGCGGGGTGCGAGTACGCGGACACGCAGGTGGATCTAGCCCACTCTACAAATACAACATGTGTTTGGCCGTCTGCTGTCATCTTTCAGTGACACCCTCTTGCTGCTGTCATGCTTTACACACACACATGTTCATCCTGTCACAGTTGCATGCTCATTATTAGTCACATTATTGCTCACTCATACAACCCGAACGTCCTTTTCCTGGTTTGTGATAGCGATCACATACAGCATTAATTCCACATGTGATTTCTTTTTCTACATCAATATTTCTTATGACTGTAGTCTATGAGAACATTGTGTGAGAGCAGGCGCTGGTCATGTGTTTGTAAATCGCTGTTGTGAACGTGTTTATTGAATGGAAACACCACAGTCCCACCGCAGCTCCAGGTTAACCTGCGCACCTTGCAGCTGCTCAGGTCAGTGTCATGTGGAAACAGTTCGCGATTCACAGACAGTATTATGGTGCACACGGATGAAGGGATCGGTCCATAAAACATCAAAACTTAAGATCAGTTGAAATAAAAGAATTTATACCTAAAAGAAGGGATCCAAAAATATCCACAATAACAACACTTTTCCATTCAGCCACTAGAGGTGAGCCCCAATGTTTGTTTGTGTTTAATCAACTATCTGTGAAGTTTTCATGAAGCTAAGATCTGAGACAGTCTTCCTAAAAATGTAAGACAGGCTTCACCGGTCTCTGACAATCTTTTAATCCAGGTTAAACTGCATACAAGTACAACTGAGGGATTTTACCTTTACTCTTGAATGCACTGTGATTATTTAGGGTTTTAATGCTTTGTGGGATTGTTTCGATCTCGTTTTGTTTGAGTGGCAGGATCATGTTAAAATACACATCATACATTTAGGCACAGCAAAGTAAACTATTTAATTATTATGTAATAATACATAGAGTATTATGTGGACATTTAAAATGAATGAGAACAGTGACACAAATGTATAACGTTTATTAAATAAAGTACTCTCTTCTCACAGTATTTATTAGGAAAACACTGAAGAAATTACACTTAACCAACCATTTAAGACAAAGTTTGAAAATGGGAAGAATTACAATTTGCACTCACACAATAAAGTACATAGGCCCACAGTATGTTGAATTTCAGAATGCAAACAGATGAAATGTGAATGAAACAATGTAAACGGACCACGAGAGATCAAAGAGTAAGGTGCAAAGACATAAATAAAAGGTCCTTCTTTGGTCTTCCTCGTCTTTTAATGAGATTAATAAAAACCTGAAGGCTTCCCAAAGATGTTTATAACGCCAGAAAGATCAATTAAGGATAAAGAAGGATAGGGAAGTTTCACAATTCAAAACAAATCTGTTGTATTAAGGATCAGCTGTCCTTCCACAACTTTTTCCCTTGTCTTTGAGAAAGGGAGGAGCTGTTTTTTTATTCATTTGACAGAATAAAACAGAAAAGTCTCACAACAGGTATAAATGTTTTGTCTGCAGTGATTGTAACAGATGCCAATATACTTTTCCAAATACATTATAAGGTACGAAACCTGTAAACTGGAGTAGACTACCGCTGACAATCAAACCAGCACAACAAAGACTGAGGGGAGGAAGTAAGTCCTTTTCATCAGGTATTTTAGAAACGTGTCCCGTGAGGATCTTCTTCCAAAGAGCTGCCACAGTCGTTACAAGAGCCTCATTTTTGGAAGAGGCGTCCTCTTCTTCTGGTCTTCGGGGCGAGAGTCATTGAGGGACTTACTCGGCCACCGCCCTTTGGGATGACTCACTTGTAGACCCACTTGGTTCAGGACACGCCGTATGGTCTGGGGGCTGACAGACTTATCTGTCACTGCTTTTAACTCTGCAGCAATGCTCGGAGCACTGATACCTTTATTTTCCAAATAAAACTTGTGGATTAGACTCTGAAAATCTGAGGTCAACTTCTTTGGTCGACCAGAGCGAGGCAAGCTCTGAAAACCACCAGTAATCTTAAACCGCCGTATGGTCCTGGCCACAGTACTTCGGCTCAGGTTCAGGAGTTTGGAAATCTTTGGAGAGCGGTGACCCTGTTTATGTAGAGAAATAATCTTTTTCCTCGTATCTTCAGACAGTTCTTTGCACTTCCAGTTACCTGGATGAGACAGAGAGGCAGTGATAACATGATTATATTTTAACACACAAAAGGTCAATTTCTTTCAACACCTTTTTTTTTTCCAAACAAAAAAAACTCGGGGAAAAAAATAACTCACCGGAATTATTGTCTACTACTGAAAGAAAACCATCGCTAAACTTCATCTCATCCTCCACACTGATTCCAGAATACATCCTCTCAGCAAATATTGCAGCATCTGAAGAAAGAAGGAAGGAATAACTCAGAAAATAAAATAAAATATATTAGACCAAAATAAACTAGGACCAAATAAAGACTAAACCAGGTCCAAACCAGGATTAAACAAGGACTAAACCAGAGCTAACCTTGAATCTGAAGTCTTTTCTCCAAGTTGCAGTTTTTAGGAAGTTTAAAAATGTCAAACAATTGGACAGCAGGAACTCTCATTTCCATGTTCTTCTCTGGATCTTTTCCTGTAAAAAAATTAAAATCATGAGTCTGACTTTATGTTCTGCACAAACATCTGTAAAAGACAATCCTCTGTTCTCCTTAGAGATAGGAGGAGGAAAGGAGCTTGGAGTAAAGCCGCTGCTCTTCCACAGAGAGAGACACGCTGCAGGGACCATGCATCTCTGCCTGGAAGCATGTCCAGATTCGCCCGGATGTGTTGGAGGAAGTGGGCACGAAGAAGGAAGTCTGGGCATCTCTGCTCAGACAGCTTCCTCCACTTTATTTTTTACTACTAGACATATTATTCTTGTCAAACCGACTGGTCAAAACGACACCTCAAAAACTAAACACAAACATGATCTATAGCAGTAGACATGTTGTGATAACACAGTAGTTCCTAATTACTTTAAATAACATCAAATACAAGAATCTCTCTCAGCATCATGATAAATATCAGGTAAAAACAGACGTAATGTAACTCAATGTAGGTAATGTAGTAATTAGTCTTTGCACAAATGGTCGTTGGTTCGATACATCCACAACTCATGTCACCAACTCCCACTGAAGTCTGCTGTTGTTGTGTCCCTCGGCAAGACACTTAACCCTACTTTGCCTGAAACCCCAACTGAAAGACCATGGAGGATCAGCGAGAGGGGGGGGAAGAGTGCCCAAGTCAGGCAATGAAAACGAGAGCAGTCATAATGTTCTTGAGAAGGAAACCGGAGCACCCAGAGGAAACCCACTTGAGCGCAGCAATGCATCAGAAGTAAAGTGGAAATCGGTAGTAATTAGATTTTGATTATTCGATTAACATAAAACACTACTCTATTTGCATACGATACATTTTACCAGTGGAAGGAAACAGACAAAACATAAAAAACACACGTGTTGCCAATTATAGACAGTTTCACCCACCTTTAGTCGCTCTTTCATCAAAGTCAACCTTTAAATTTGTTTTTTCTGTGGCCTACTTAATTCAAGTATGCCTGATCAGTTCGTTCATAGTTCATTACTGTATGGATAACGAACGCAAACGCACAAACATGTAGAAAAGTGAAGTATCCAGCTGCAGAGCTGCTGCTGCTGCTTCGTCAGACCGTTCCCGCAGGTTGTGCGCTGTGCGGCGGGAGGCTGCCCTCTGGCGGAGATCACCTGTCACTGCAGCCCCTACCCTAAAAATCAGGGCTGTACCATGATCTATAATGGGATGTACTAATAACTGAGGTCTGTTTTTTACTTTCATATAGATTTTTACCGTTATTATTTGCTTTAACCACGATAGAAGATACATTACAAAACATCCATAATGAGAGAGCAAAAAGGAAGCTACCCGTTTATTCCATTTCTAAATTAAATTTAGCTGGTGCACATTATCAAATACATATTTGTCTAACAGAAAGAGTCCTGAACAAATTACATTTTATGGACAAATCAGATTACAACACTACATTTTTAAAAGAAAAAAGAAAACAAAAACACGTAATATTTCTATCTAAGACTGAGCATGCATGCTTTTGATGAAAAATAAATAATATAACATTTAGTGAATGTACACTAGAGGGCGCAAAGAGACCCTTGCATAAAGAATGAATGAATGGAGGGGGTTTGCGGTCTTTGGGGGAGGTGTCAAAGATATGAACAATTGCAATTCCATATTTTTCTAAAGAATAAGTCTAGTCTTTTCATTACTATAGAAAAAATAGTAACCAACTTTTAACAATAATAATGAATGAAAGCTAAAGTTATAGCTTGAGAGTTTATTTTATTCTTTTATTATTATCTTATAATTTCAATTTTATTATTTATTATCTCAAAAACTAGACCCTGTTTGATGTCTGACTGCTCTTATTTCCAACTTGTTATACTGTAATGTGCGCAACGATGACACTGAAAATTCAAATCATATGGAAGCTGACACCCTTGAAATTACTTTTGCCACATGCATCTAACATTTTAACAACAATTATATACTGATAAAAGCTGTTTGTGTGTCCTGTTTTCACTTCAGCTCAATCTCAACTGACTCAACAGGTGATCATTGGCTCAAACTGTGTGTTTAGTGATGCACAAGCATAATAGGTTTACTACTGTAGAATATTTACTCTTGATTCCTGCAAAAGTCAAGAATCAAACAAGATGAAGTGTTAGTATTATTTATTGAGTTAGTTTTTCCTGGAGAATATAGCGACTGTGCTGTGATAAGACACAGCAGACACACAGTATATGCAGTATACGAGGATCATAAAAATATTTCATATGGTTTGGCACTTGCACTGCGGAAGAAATATGACAGGAGAGAATTGAACAGGTATAATGAAAGTAAATTCCCCCCAGGTTCTGCCCTCTGGTGGTGGAAGCTGAAGTGATGAGCCCATAACATGAACATATATGTCTCACTGTTGAGGCGAAAATGGGGAGGAGGCCTGTTGCTGCGCGAGCTGAATGCAGGTGAAGGCAGATACTGATAGCAGAGCCACAGGTGTGGGGGGTTTGAGGTGAAACTAGTGCACTTAGTCTTCCAGTTGGAGACTTCACTGTTTAATGTTCTATAAAAAATAGAATATTGGGGAAACGTTTTCTGAACAATTTCACTGTATTCATTTCAGAAAGTTAATTTATTATATATTGATTCTACAAATATGTCGAATAGTTCAAGCATTGTTTTTCGGTTTCACTTTCTGAAATGCAGAAAAAACACTTTTTGAAGAACTATTGAACAACACATTGATTGAGAAATGTATTTAGAATTCCATGTTTTAGCCTTTTAAAATTATACAGAGCTAAAACATATACAAATAGATTGCCCCCTGCTGGGACTCTGAGGGGCACTGCTGGCTGGAGCTCTGAGGAGCACAGGGACGAGTCTCCTGCTGGGACTCTGAGGGGCACAGGAACTGCTGGCTGAAGCTCTGAGGAGAACAGGGTCTGGTCTCCTGCTGGGACTCTGAGGAGCACACGGATGGGTCTCCTGCAGGGACTCTGAGGGCTACAGGAACTGCTGACTGGAGCTCTGAGGAGCACAGGGATTGGTCTCCTGCTGGGACTCTGAGGAGCATGAGGATTGGTCTCCTGCTGGGACTCTGAGAGCTACAGGAACTGCTGGCTGGAGCTCTGAGGAGCACAGGGATTGGTCTCCTGCTCGGACTCTGAGGAGCATAGGGACTGGTCTCTGGCCAGGACTCTGAGGAGCACAGGTACTGGTCTTCCAATGGAACTTTGAGGAGCACAGGGACTGGCCTCTGGCTGGTGCAGAGAATCAGGACAAACGGTCTTCTCTGTTAATGTGCAAATCCAGATTAAAAACATTTCTATTTAGCTGTGCAAATGGTGTGAATATCTATAAATTTGCCTGTATGGTATGCGTGTGAATCGTGCCATGCAAACAAACATGCATGACATTACATCACTCAGCATGCATTTACACGGCCCGTGCCCCAGAGAATATCGATCTTTCGTCTGCTCTGTGAATGGATTCTTCAGTCTAATTGTGATGAGTTGTTGTCATGCGTCTGTGCTTTAATCACCGCTGCACATCTGAACGCTCTGACACGTCTGGTCTTTGTGTCCCGCGGGAGGATCAACACGTCGCCGTATCGTGTGCATCTCGCTCACAAAATGCCAAACTCCTGGATCCCAAGGCAGGAGCTGAACACCTGAAAGGACAAGGCGAGTTCAATCGATTTCACTGCAAAAGAGGACGAAAGGTCCGTGGTTAACATGTAGAGTATAATGATCAGACGTGGGTGCATGAGGGGAAGCCCACACACAGTTAAAGCTGGGGTACTTAACTTTTTGTTTCATAAATCTCAATCTCAAACATATGTCTCATTTTGTCCACTCCCTTTTAAACCAGAGAATTTCCTCCAAATTCGTTTTTAGTTTTTCACCAGATGTTTATTTATTTATTTATTATTATTATTATTACTTTTTTTAACCTTTCATAACTTTCAATACGTGCTGAAACTGGTGAATATAATTGAAACAGAAAAACAGTTTGAATGTTATGGTTCTTTTATAACACTTTTGAAGCAACTGTAGTAAAGGTTGAACTCATCATTGTGTGGAGGACTCAGTGATTTTCTTCTTGATGTTTTGGTTTTTTGAAGGTCGACGATTGGTGCCGTGGCAGACTTTGAGAAGAGTGTCTGTTTTGTTTTGTATAAAGCCCTGTGCATTCTGTAAAACGTTGGTCTTGTCGTTTTAACATCAATAAAAAATCCATAAAACATGTCTTCTGCCTTTGACACGATCCGAGACCTTTTTTTGTCACGTTGCACTGAGAGATGATTGGCTGTATGAGGGTGGTGTTCTACATATCTGTCTGAAAAAGTTGATCTGAAGATGTGACAAACATGAAGCTTAAGTGGAAATTCAGAGTGGAAGACCTGAGAACGCAGCTCTGAGCGCTCAGTTCTCCTGCTGTTGCCCACAGCAACAGCAATCAGTCAATCACACTCACTCAGCTGCAGCGCAAATCCTCACCTGCAGCAATCAGGCACTGCCCGCATCAGCTTCATGTCACGCAGAAGCGCCATCCAAGCAGCAGCTTCATTCGTGCTGCAACCCTCCTCCTCCCCATCTCCGCCTTGTTCCAGGCCAGCCTCTTCATCCTTCTCCTAGCTACAGTACCACCACCAGGGTTTGGCCCCGGGGGATTTCATCTCATAATCTCTTTCCCCTTCTGCAATCGTGCAGTGCTCCGCCAAAGCGCCAAATCCCAACCACATTCTGTTCAGCACAATAAATATGATATTGAAAATATTGTCTTTAGTGTCATATGTGTAATCAGTGCAGTGTCAGATTACCTGCCAATCAACAAACAATTCTAATACCATATTTTGCCTGTTCGAGTCTCTCCTGATTGAAATACCTTCATGTGAAAACTAAGGACAGAACCAAACTGTTTAGAAAGCAAAGAAGTTATGTAAGTTTTGTTCATGTCTCTTGTGGTTTGAAACTTAAACAGAATAGAAAAGTGTGCATAATTTAGCATTTTGTAACTA